CTCTGCTTTCCTCTCTCTCCTTACCACTTTTACTCGCTCTTCCTCCTCCTTCCTCCTCCTCCTACCTCCTCTCTCCTCCTCATCCTCTCTTCCTCTTCCTCCTCCCTCCCCTCCTTCCTCCTTTTCCCCATTCTTCTATCCTTCCCTTCCTATTCTGCTTTCAGTTTCTTTTCTCCTCCTCCTCTCTAACTCTCTCTCTCTTCTCTCTGCTCTCTCTCTCTCTCTCTCTCTCTCTCTTCCTCTTCTCTTCTCTGTCTTCTCCCCTCCTCTTTTTTCTTTCTCTTTTCTCCTTTGCCTTCTTCACTTTCTCTTCTCACTCTTTCTTTTCTCTCTCTCTCTCCCTCCTACCTCTCCCTCTTTTTCCTCTCTCTCGCTCTTCCTCTCTCCTCTTTCCCTCCCCCCTCCCCTTTCCCCCCCCCTCTGTTTTTCCTTTTCCTCCTCCTCCTTTTCCCCATTCCTCTTCCTCCCCTTCCTATTCTGCTTCAGTGTCTTTCTCCTCCTCCTCCTCATTCCACTTCCTCCCATTCTTATTGTGCTTCAGTTTCTCGTTCTGTCTGTATGTCTGTTTGTCCAAGTATCTATTACATTTTCTACTTTTATCTCCTTCATGGTACAGTGGCTGGTATGCTACACTGGCTTTTGCACAAAGCTTCATTTGAGACCATTGAAAATAACTGTTATGTTATGAATATCTATATGTCAGTACAAGACAAGTGTCATGATATAATTTTGCATGCAGGTGAAATCGCTATTAACACAGATATTACCACCATGTCATTGAGGAATTTATTGCACTTTTGCTTGAATGGTTTCATTGGACAATCAATATGATGTGTTTTGAAATTAATTACATTTCTGTGTAATCATATTTAGGAAAGAAGGGATTCACATTATATTGAAGCATGTTTTTATTAGAGTAGACATATTTAACCTTGTTAATTAAAAGAACTTTCTGCATAAAATGGTTTTATTGAAAAATGGGACCAGAAGTTAATATCTTACTTGATATCATCTGCAGGATTTTGAAGCTCTTGTCCCATCATTCAGTAAAGCTGTTTTGTCTCTGACATCAATTAATGCTAATAAAAATGTTCAACTGTGACTATTCATCTAGTTCTAGTACAGTGAAGAGGGACGTTATAAAAAAAGATGTATTGGATTCTAATGAACTCAGAGTAGTCTCTAAAATATGTATTATCCAAAACTTTGTTAGTAAACAAGGATCGTCACATATATTTTTTTTCTGCAGTAGCAATAGGTTAAAGTAAGGCAACAGCCTATACTCTCTTTCAGAAAGAAATAGAACTGTAATTTACAGGTTTTCTAATGCTATAGTTTCAATATACTTTTCAGCACAATATAATCGTCCAATTTAATGGAAAACTTTTGGCTTTCTTGTGCATGAACTGTTTTTGACTCGTAGGAAGGATTATATTTTTATGTACCCATTCTAAGTATGATGCCCACTTTTACACTTTCCAACATATTATACTAAAACATATGAATTAAGTTAAATGAACAACAAGGGAAGTTAATTCAAATATTGACTATGAAGTGAGTCCATTAATGATATGAAAGGATTTCAGAAAATTGTTTAATGATGCTGTAAATAGTGTCTAGGTCTTTGCTTTTTGTGAATATACAATGTATACTGTATAAATTGCAAAACACACTACAGTGGTGTTATGGTAGAAAACCCACAATTATTATTATTATCATTATTATGGTAAGGCATGTAACAAACCTCATTGAAAAATTTTAATTATGCCACCAATGGTGTCAGTACAAGTCAAAGCACAGCTAAGAAAGAAAGAGAAGATTGAAAATCATCATTGCACATACTAGATTTTCAGTAATACTGGATTGTGTATTTTGGGTTTTTCTACCAATGTATACAATATATGGAGTATACCTTGCAAATGTAAAGTACTGTGGTTTCACCAATACAATATTCTATATATAAATAGGGAAAACTTGTATTAGTTTTTACATTTTTAATGTAATTGATTTCCTCAGTACTGTTTTTGTATGATATGTATAATAATTTTCAGAAGATTACAGCAGATTAAAATTTGTGTTGGTCATATATATATTAAAGAATGCAAGTTAAAGTAATATCCAGCATTAAAGTGGATATTGTACTCTACATGAAAGGACCATGGAACAAGCTGTCATTTATGATGATATTCAGAATTATGTTGATGTAAGAACCTTGTCATAAAATTAATATGCATGTATCCTTATCATTCTTGGTTTTGACTGACTTATAGATATAGAAAATGCATTGAAAATAGTGATTATCAACATTATTGCTTTTATCATATGAGTACCACTAAATTATCAGCAACTTCAGTGTTCTCTTTAACAATTTTACTAAATTTCAGAATGTTGCTTGTTTCACAACAGAATATTTTTTGCTCAATCAGTTTCAAAATTTTGCAAATTATTTTTACTTTTTTAATATCAGCATTGTTTAATTGCAGGTGTTTCTCGACATATGGGTAAGAAAAGTATAGCTTAACAAAAACATTCCACGCAAGTTACACATGCTGATGGATATGTGGTCTGTAGGGTGGCAGGATTTTGATGCATGGTATTAATACAAAACAAATAAAGAAATTGCCTTCTTTACTAGTGTGTGAACCTTTGTCTTATCCAAAAATTGATTCAAATGCCTGATACATTATTTATCATATAAGGGGTATTACACTTAAATTCTGTTTTGTTTTATGTGCTATGATTCAGATTAACCCACAGGTATCACCAATGAGATATTTTGTTTTTAATTCCATGGGCTCTAATGGTCTGTGGGCTGTGGTGGCACAGGACTAAATGGGAATTGAATGGGGATGGATTCACTGTATTTGACTGGGCTTTTTCCATTTGATACAACTGATATATGCACCTGCATGCCTGGGGAATCACTGAAATGGAGAGAAACGAATATAGAGCTGAATGTTTTCAGTTGCATTAGAAATAAGTGTCAGTTATTCATCAGTATTGAAAGATAATACAAATATTACTGACTGGATT